GCCAGGTTACAAGCTTGGTTACAGAACGTAACCGAATTCGCGCGAAGTTACAATCAAAGTGTGTGTATAAGAATGAAAGCACAAAATAGCTGTCATTAGCACAGTCAAACAAAAGCACATTAAAACAAGCACTGGTACAGTTGGTTATAATAATAATTGTTTTTATTAAACCAGTCGTGTTCTCGTGATAAATGTGAGTCACTACATGCTATACAATCAAGGGTTTACTAACTCTAACGTTCCAACCAACAAAAAGAATAGTTAATGAACAAGAATTTAATACCTGAGAATCACTGGAAATGTTCCTAAAACGATGGTGTCAGATATCTATACCCAGTGACCTTTCCAGGCATATGGTCAAATGTAAACAGTCACCCACTGGACCACACCATGACCTTAAGCTCAGTCAAGCACGATCTTATTCTCAGTGGTCCGGCCACATGCAACGGCGAATGAAGTAACAAACGAAAAATCTTCAACCAAGATCAAATTACAAAAGCCTCGACAAGTAAAACTGAACAATGTAGAGTGTTGTCAAAAGAGGCCTGAATAGATGCTAAGTACAAGACAAGAAGAAACAAGTAAATAACAATACTGTGGATGGATTCTGAGTGTTTTCTTCCCGTTACACCTGGGCAAAGTTGCTTCGCTTTGCCCCTAAGCGTGTAGACGGTTAACTAGAACGACTTTCTTCCGCGATGCTGAACTTCATACATAGTAATGAAATCAGAAAACTAAAACCACTTTTGAAAACATTTACTAATTCAAGTTGTGATAATTTACCTCTTCCAAAACGGCACAGAACACCTCAATTTCGCGATGGATTGAAAAATGTAAAAAATGCACAACAAGGTATAACATTGAAGCAGTAAAGTTTCGACATAAATAACAATTGAGACACAATATTTACCATACAGCTTCATGAGTGACTCAGTCATATAATTAATGCCAAAACACAAGACATTCACAATTCAGTGTTTCTAGAAGAGATACTGTACGGACATACGAGTTAATACAATTATGATTATTAGAAGTATCCGAATTGATGAAATAGTGAGGTTTACAGCAAGTATAACAAGATGAGCATAAATGAACGTATAATATTCGGGATTCGAAATCAGTGAACAATCAAGTACAAAAGAGTAATCAGTTCGTACAAATACCACAATAATGCAACTATATAGCTGAAATAAAATAACCTCATTTTCTCGTGACATATGTGGCATTAAACTAAATAAATGTCCTCTTTTCGGTCTAAAATTTATGGAGAATGTACACATTATGGTTCTCAATTTTTTATATCCCCAGATTCGGCCCAAGTACCTGTAAAGTGAAAGTGGATAGATCTACTTCTCAGTTCTTTTCCTAAGCATAAGTAACTTTCATCTTTTTTTCTTCAGAATCTTGCTCTGAGAGCACAACTATGAAACTTCTGACGTTTCGAACAAACTTGGCGAACGCGTCCTCTCAAGGTCATAGTTTACAGCAAGCGCTCTACGAATTCACCTTATAACAACTATAAACTTAATAAGTTGGGAAACATTTTGTGAACCAACAAATTTTGTAATTTATATATCATGCCTGTAAAAACGGTGTGTACCTGCACATGCAGAAATATATTATTATTATTATCAGCTCTCATAAGTTGTGATTTTTAATTAACGTGGTTTTCACTCAGCAAAATATGAGCTATCGACTATGTAACCAGCCGCTGGACTCAGAAATGCATACATCACGCAAGTCCTAGCACATAACTCTCACCTTGTACATAAATCTACCATAACGAATAAGCTCGAGATTATATACACTCATGTAGTTAGGTCTTCTATAGGTGTACTGAGACAGCTCCATACATAGTTGTTATCTGCAATTGACTTGCAGATCATTCCGCATTTATATGGTCATACTCTAATGGACTTTAACAACCGAGTATTCAGATTCCTTGTGTGGCATAATAACCCTCCTGAAAGGAAAATATTGACGTTAAGTTTATGTTTGTAAATGTGCAACGCATTGTATTTTATTACTTTCACCTAACTTGTCTGAACATCGGGATATTATTGTGGTACTTGTATGAACCAATGAGTTCTTTTTACTTGATGACTGTCTGATTTCGAATTCGAAGATAATACGTTCGTTTGTACTTACCTAGTTGCGTTTGGTCAAAATTGCGTTATTTTGGGGGTTCCTATTTCGTAAAATAATTCAGGTACTTCTAATTATCACACTTATTTGTAGTAGTTACTTAGTAGACTTCTCAACTTCAGTCTAAACTCCATGTGGGATGAGAAATCTGAGTTTGTACCTAGTTTTTAAAATAATTCAAAATGGATATTATTTAATCTATTAATATATTATCTTCAAGTTGTGAAGTGATTCAGAATGAAGTTATTTTGTCTAATCTCAATGCATTTGATTCAGCAATCCAGGCTACGGCTAAGTAATTTATACTTGACCTAAGAACTCTTAAACCATTCCATTGAAGATTAAGTCGATTAAATACAGCCCTAAAACTCCTTAAAATCCCTAAAATCAGTCTGTTCTCAATTTATAGCCTGATAAACAAAAAGTAATACATGTCACCTTCAGACAAGTGTAGCGTAACACAGTAATAGAAGTGAGAAATTTTTATGAATAAGATGAATATTGTGACATGAAATTAAAAACGAAGTCAAAATAATACTTAGGTATACTCCCTTCATTCACTAAACGGATAAAATTCCCTATTTGATACGCTATGTTCATATGAATTATCCTATCGGTATAATATAACTCCAGCCCATCTCTTTGGCATATTACAAACAGATGAGGATATGAGGCTAAGAGCACCACTTATACACAGGCGAAATAGCATTACTTCCCAAAACGCGTGCTGAGGCACACCACAAATTACGATCTATCAATCGGACAAACAAGCTAGAGATAACTATAATCCATACTTGACGTCCAACCAAATATTATTTGCGCATGGAAGAAAGTTAAGTAACCAGTTTATGTGGAAGTTTGTTGGAGGCCTTACTAAAGTTGATTTAAGCTACAATTATACGCGGATTTTGATTTCTTAGAGTACACTAACTATCTTGTTAGACACCAGTAACCTGTGTGGAAACCAGGGATTTTATATTTCTATTCGATATCTTTCAGCCGCCTCAAATAGAAGGCGTAGTGTTCCCAGTTGTTGTCTACAAGTTAATTTAATACCTCTCTGATTGTTGGCTCAGATACGTCTATTGCTATATTAGTTGGTGCTCTGGGGTCGTTTCAAGAAGCATTGTCGACTTTGGGATAATGTGCTGTACCACAAGGGATGTCATATTTATATATATACCCAGTTTGACTATTTTCATATTTCCCTGATGTACGTTAATACGTGATTTATTAAGAGATCAGCAACTTTCTATGAATTGCTGGCAAAAGCTTACTAGTCTATTGAACATGAGTAGCTGCTTAATACAGATTGTTCCATTGTTCCTCTTGTTAAGTTACGGATGTAAGTTGAGGGGTAACGATTTGGGCTTTTCTGCATTGGATCGTTTAAAACAACTGACAAAAAGCCACTGATTGGAGTTTCTTTGGAGAACCGTACATACCACGAGATCCAATGGACTATTTAACGAATGAAATAAGTCTTAATTTTGATAATATAAGGGCTTTGTGTATAATTAATCTTGAGGTATATTTCAGGGTAAAAAGAGTACAAGTTTGCATGAAAATATGAGAACAAAAAAATAATTATATAAAGTGATTGTACAAAAATACAGGAACACATCACTAGGGTTTCCCGCAATATACACGATCACATTAGCGTCATTAATGAGAACAAACAACCATAGAAACTAGGTAAAGTAAAGTTAGCATGAAATTATGCAGAATGTTATCGTCGTACGGAAAATACACTGTAGAGTGTATTAAGAGCACAAAACCCAATGACATTTGAAGAGAACTGTACTGGGTTCGAGTACCGGAGCGACTCATTAACTCTGGGATGCAGGTACATCCAGCTGACGAGTTCCAAATGCGACGAAACGTGCGTCTTGGATTCTGCTACTAGCCACTATTCATCTTTTCTTTAGTTAAAAGTTTTGCTGTTCATGTAAATAACAAGACTACCAGTATCTTTGATAAAGTGTACTTATTTATTTCTAGATTTATTTTTATCATGACAAAAATATTTGACTGTTTTCAGATCCCATCACCAGAGGATAAAATTATGTCAACAACAGATTTTGGAAACAAATACCGTAATTATTAATGAGGGGTTCTGTATGACAAAGCTTTTATTTAAAGTAGAAAATTTGTGGGTTTTAACTGTCACTACTATTACTCTTAACAAACTAATTACGACCAATTTTATTGCTGGACAATCGGAGGTCTTGGTTTTATCACAGATGACAGTCAACAACAGAATGTGTCTACGACCTTGTGGAGACTATCTCTTTCTTTGTGACCCGAATCATAGTAGTAGTAGTAGTAGTAGTAGTCGGTATAATGCTAATTCTGTTAGGAGTCTACTTTGAAGATTTAAAAAATTCACATGTTAAATTCGTTAAAATCTATTCACACAATATGTGCACCTTATCACGTGGTGATTTACTATAGACGACTTACACAGTAGGAATTGTGTTGCCTCTCTTCTTATTGCCATTGGCCAAGTGGTATTATGCACTTGGGCATTGAATTTCATCTGCGAAATAAGTAACCAATTAAAATTATTGTGTTAATTCGATTTTTGGAAGGGTAGAGAAATAATTTTTAGTCTGCACACATTTATAATTGCAAATTAATTTAATTTGTAGCGCACTTGTGCAAATCAATATCATGGGAAGAAAACTACATTTGGTAGACAAGAAATCGGAATACTTAATATTACTAACCAATAAAAGTAAAGTTAATTTAATTTAGAAAGAACACAAATTACTAGAATAGGGTGGTGATGTTGCTAACAAATTGTGTACCACTGATGGGTTTATATATACCAGTATACTTAAAGAATAAATTCTGTGGTACAACTGCGCAAACTTGTCAAATATATTTTCTTTGATTAAAACAACCGAATCATTTAGAGTAACAATTGTTATTCATTCACAAATCGTCCAAAGCAATTTTAAACAGAAGAGGTGGAAAAAAAGTTACCACAACAGTTGCTGTAATAATCTTGAATAGTCAGTTCCAACCAAGTCAAAAGCAACTGTTTAACATTATACATACACGTGTGTATATACACTTATCTACGAAAGTCAACTGTTCCAAATAACAATAAGAATATTAATTGAATAACTTCTTCTTCAACTTCGTACATAACCAAAAACTTGTACTTGTCAAACTGTGTCCATCAGATCTTAAAGATTCATTTATACAAGGTCATACATTTATATTTTCTTTATTCAAAGATTCTGTACTATTTTGAGAAGATCAACAACTGTTCACGTTCACAACTAATTGAACTATCATCAATATACTTCCATTTTTATGTAACCAGAAGATAAAAAAAACAAGAAAAACTATTTTCTCTCAAAGGATTGTCCAAGAATATACAACATTTCCCCACTGATAAGAAGCAAGAAATAAATTATTAACTGGAAGAGGAAAACAGCAGCACTCAAAAACTGTTTAATTTTTTTCATTGTAGTTAACAGTCAAAAATTTCCTATTTCCTCTTCGACAATATTCAACTCGTGTTGAATCTTATTACATTTCCGGATACATACATACATACATACATACATACATACACACATACATACATACATACATACATACATACATACATACACACGAAGATATACACAATTACACTAAACCACATTTGTGCGTACATAGGGAAAAATTCAGGTTAGCAGCTGACTCGAGTAATACCAACTGTTGTCTTACACACGAAAAAACAACAGAAATTGATCAAAACTATTGCGGTGATTTCACCTGCTGACTTATACCGCTTTTTATCTGGATAAGTATTGAATAATATTATACGGTGAAACAGGATAATCGATTTGCTTACTATTCCCGTGTCCAAGTACCAACGAAATCGATTTTATTCAAGTGATCAGATTATTACAGATTTGACATTATTAATATCAATAACTAATTGATTTATGCATAAATACACATATACATAAATCTTTGACAAGAAAGTTAACAGTTGTCCTTTTGTGTTATTTGAAAAATCCTCGGAAAATTTTCTACACATTTAAAATCACGTGAACTCAAAATTATGATTGGAGAATATGATCAGTCACATCACCATTTAAACAGTACATTCACTAACTACAGTAATAATAGCAGTATTATAGTAGATGACATACCTACCGAATCCTGTCAATTGTTAAATTATCCTACACAACTGATTAATAATAATAATAATGCAACAGCCAAAAATTCGACACATTTCACCTCATCTATCAATCATCATCATATTGCATTAACAAATGAACAGGTGAGTTTCAATGTAGAAAACAACTCCGAATACAGTCATAACATATTAGATAGTCAAACTAATCATTATGAACTATCGTCTTCTACCAATTCACCCTACGGGAATTTGTCAAATCAATACTCGACTAATTCACATTATACAACAAATCAGCCGCATTATCCTATTGTCACATTGAATAATAATAACAATAACAGTGATAATCCATTTAGATGTGCAAATTCATTCATTCCATTAGTTAATTCAAATCACCATTTGCCTTCTATATCATCATCATTATCACCAACCTCGATAACAACAACAGCGTCAGTGACAGCAGCATCGTCAGTTACAGCAGAAACATATCAAACTAATTTATGTGATCAAATTGAGTTTTCACTGAATTCTCAGTTCCTTCAACCGCCGACTGAAGAATTTATCACAGTATTACCAAATGAAACAGAATTAATAAAAACATCTGTATTGCGTCATCTGGACCATTATTCACAGTTTGTAAATCAGTCACCGTTTCAAACATTAGTACATCACTTAGTAACCAATTCTACTAATAATAGCAGTAAACATAACTTTGACAGCATTTCAACATCGACAATTGATGATGACTTAATATTATGTCATAAAAATATTTTATCTAATCCACATAATAATCATGAGTTCCTACCACCATCAGTGTACCATTATCAACATGTTCCTGAAGGTGAACTTGTTAAAGTAGAAATGCTAAATGATGCTGATGATAATGAAAATGATGATAACACTTATCTACGTCAACATAAACAGCATCAACAAAGACAACAATTATTACAACCAAATGAATATAATACATATATAAGAAACTCTCGACAGACTACATTCAACAATTTGAAGTCATCTTATCCTGAAAATTATGTTTCCAATGCACAGGCAATAATTCCATCATCAATTATAATACCTTCGATTACAAGTGATGAATTTAGTTTATCAACTAATTGGACACCAGATAAGATGAATATGTATCCAGATGAAATATCATCAATGTCACAACACCAACATCGTCAATCTAGTAAATATTTAACATCGCCAAGTCATTTCACATCAACTCCATTATCATCAGAAGCAAACTTTGGTAATCGTCAAATAGATTATTTGAACAACAGCATTTATAATAGCCCTGATCTGTTACAAAATACAACACCACAACGTTTATTAATTACAGAAGCCAAACAACACGTGTCAAATATATCCAAATCTTTTGATAACAATGACAATAGTAGTTGTAGCACTAATAATAATAATATATATTGTCTGCCAGTTTCTACACAAATCGCTACCACTCCCATTACCACAACAAGTGAGAATTCTGTGAGTGTTTTTAATCAAACACAGCTCCTTTTTGATGGGTCCTCTTCAACTTCATCAGCTGCATCGAGATCTTCAAGTTCACTTGGCAACGCATCGTCAGATAATAATAACAATTCAGGGAAAAGACCTCATTGCTTATTAAATGAATTTCAGACTCATCTACAAAGCACAATTAATAAAAATACTTGTCAAAAATCGGAACTTGTCAGCAATCCACCAGCATCTTACATAACTAATAACAGTTTCCATATAACATCGCCATCGCATAATACATCAATAGAAAAGACTGATAAATATACAAATCCGGATTCAAATAAATCATCTATTGACACAGAACAAATAATAAGTGAAAAAACTAAAAACGATAGACGAAAACAAACAGAACTGCCAACAACTAATCCTACAGTTACATCACTAAAACGTTCTAAATCAATGATGCATTCAGACTCAACAACGATGTCATTGAAACCTGAACGACCAAGTATACAGCAACAAACAACCTCATCATTACGTAAACGTGGTCGTTATTCTCGTATGAAACAAGCAGAAATGAGTATAGATAAACATCATTTGATCAACACAGCAATAAATGAATTACAAACTTCACAGTCAACGATGAAAACAGTAGTAATGAAGTCAAATATATGCGATGATACAAGTAGTAGTACAGATGACGAATCTGATTCAGATAATGATGACACTGAAGAAACTAAAGTAAGTATTTTAAGTGATCCATGTTTTAATTTCATTATTTTCTTCAAGATGTTGAGTTTCGACATTCCTTCATACACATCTTTCTTATGTCATCTTTTTAAAACTATCCTCAAAATTTAGTCTTTTCTTTTACCATTGATCCCGCAGTATTTGATTTCTCATTCGTTTTTTTTAAAGTTCATGTTGTTACAGTAATATGATATGACAACTTGGGCTCGTACACATATAACTCAATCACAGAGCTAATCACGTCTGACCGATAGTTTTTTTTAATTAAATGAAAAGTATATAATAACTGTAATTATCTTGTATCTAGAATTCAATCAAAGATGATTACTCAGTTCAGTTATTTATTTATTGAATAAATAAACTTTGTGTGTACCTAGTAAATATGTTGTCTGAAATTTTCCATGTAAAGATTTACTGACCCTACCTTGATTCACTTATCAATTTAAACTGAAATAGAAAAAGTAGATTAAGATGTAAACAAGCAAACTGTTTGTTAAAAATGAAGCGTTTTAAGTCATAATTATGTGTAATAAAATGTGTATACTCAATTTAACTTTACATGAACTTGTAACTCATAACATAAAGTGGGAATATATGAATAAATATATAAATAATTAATATCAGAAGGGGTTTTGTGGATATTATAGTAATTTTAATAGTTAAGATTATGAGTCAATTGAAGCTAGACTACAATGGAAAACCTGTATGGCCGTTTCATCCTATTGTGGGACTCCTCAGCAGTGCGCATCCAAGATCCCACCTCGCGGGATTCGAAGCCATAAATGATTATTAATGTTTTAATAAAACACAGCAAGTGAGTCAAAATAATCTCGAAGACAGATTTTTAAAAAATTGTGCAGTATATTTGTGTGAAACCTAGAATTGATTGGTAACACTATAATCTTGGCACTTTACCTGAAATTAATCTTTCATATCTAAGTTTGATGCAAATAATTAATTATTATTTTAAGTAATGTTTAAATGAGATATAGAAAAACTATTTTTAAATAAACACCAACTTTTCTTGGCTTCAGTTTTATAGCACAACAACTTCATATGACACAAATTATCACGTAACTTAGTTTAATGACCATATAGCAACCTGATCGACAGACTACAATCCATACCAAAAATAAGATAAGCATAGGTTAACTGGAGGTTGAACCCAGGGCCTTTATGTCTCGGGACTAACGCTTAACCTTTAGAACACGAACCTGATATATAATGGTTTATCTGTTTAACTTTGATAAGTTCGTAATAATGTCCAAAAATCTTCCGATATCACTGTGACTGTCTCACACTTAAAATTGATGAAAAAACTGGTTAAACTTATATTAAGAATATCCAATATATTCTCATTTTTGCTATGTAAATTTATATCTCAATCTATTCATGTAAATTCTCATTTACACAATAGAAACTTTGTATCATCAGTCTAAAAAAAATTTAAGCATATTATTCAACTACATGAATTACCCTGCTGAGTTAAAATATTAATTGATGAAGACATTTTGAATGGCTCTCCAGATTTTCATCTTTCTATCTCTTTTAAGTAAACCAAAGTGAACATTTCTAACTTATCTAAAAAGTTACTTCACTGATCAATCCCACCTTTAAATATTCTCAATGAAAAATCTCATTCTGATAATAATAATAATAATAATAATAATAATAATAATAATAAAACTCCATGAGGTCAACACAAATCAACACAATCTGACCTGCATAAAGAAAGTTTTCATTAAGAAAAGGATCATCCTTTAAATAATGTTATCTAATTAACTTATTCAAGATAAATCATGTGTAATAAGTTTAGTCTTAACTTAGAAAAGCATATTCGACCTTCTGCTCTCTCCCTTCCAACGCTTCAGCTTCCAATAAAAGATATCCCACTTCACTTATTGTTACTGTTTTTATCAGTATATATATGATACAGGCAGTGAAGCATTAAACGGATAGATCAACTGAACAGTAAAAACGTCTAGTTCTCTTTTATCTAAAAATTTGATAGACAATATGCATAAATTAGCATACCAGTTATATATGTGTATGATATAATCTTTTAATGATAAATGACGTTGAAATAACTAAATGAAAGTGGATTGTAATTGTATTGAATAACTGGTTACATTAAAAATAAAATACCCTTTTATCACATGTCAAGTATTATTTAATCTTTCAGACAGGATTACATAATCATTTTCGTTTAGGATAAAGAAACTTTTAACGTTAAAAGCATGTTGATAGTTGATAAGAAAGTAAACAGAACTGTACATTTAGCTTACACAATTTTATATAGATATTTGAACACTGAAGGTAATTTAACATATTTTGTGTACAGCTAGTATAGGAATCCATAACTCCTGTTTCAGACTCCCCAACTGGTTGCATCTACATTACAGTACTGATGTAGACGCCGAACATCGGACGCTGCTCATCGTTTTAAATGCTCAACTCACAATCCAATGAGGTATGAGGCCAGATAGTCACTAACCTTTTGAACAGGTATGAAGGTATCAATTAGGTTCTAGAATCTCCCGTTTTTTGGTATAAAGGACTGCAAATGATATGTTCCATTTTTGGCCACAAATATATCAAAATTTATGACATAATGCTATATTGATGCAATTCACTCAGGATGCTCGTATGTCGACAGGGACTATTCAGTTACAGTTCTGAATACCGATAACAGGTAATTAAGAATCCCAGCTAGCACTTTACAGTTAATTTTCACTACTAGGTGAAACTGAAGGAGATTCAATGAAAATTGTGGAGAAACTGAGTGCGCGCCTGAGTATGTATCATGATTAGCTACAACGTCACCCATAAGTATGAGACTAAATCCAAGAATATCAGGTTTCCCAAAAAAAAACAAAATCTTATCTGTCCAAAAATTTGAATGAAGAAAGCTTAAGATATAATTCAACCCTCACTAACAGTGTTGTGAGTTACTAATTGGTCAAATCTACGGGTAACAGTTTCTCGTTCGTACTTTGGAGAAGCCATCATTAGAAACTAATCTCTAGTGTAATCACTCGGTTATTAATGAGTGAGTAATTGTAGAAATAGTCAATAATAGTTTCTACTAGAAACCCTTACGTAAAGGATTTTCCAGAAGAATAAATCTTACATATTTGGAGTAATGGATAATCAATGTATTATTAAGAAGCGTAGTTATCTTTTTTTCACTATTTTTCAAATCATATAGCAATAGAACAATAATATTACCATATGATGACACTATTAATAATAATAGTCTTGTTTACATTATGCTCTGTAAAAGTAACACAATAACTTCTGCTACTCAGCGAATTGTTTACAAGCGATATATATACATATTGTATAGAAAGAGAGAAAGGGACCGTGAAAATGAAAGAAAACAATACTTTGACATCTGTGAATCCAAGGTAAAATAAATATTTTAGCAGTTAAAGTTTTATACCTATTATAAAGATTTCTGTAGGGAAATTCTCGTGTGTGTGTGTGTGTGTGTGACACAGAAAGCATTATAGAGACTCAAATTATTAGCTTAAAATCTTGATTTGTCTCATTTTGAACAGTTGTTCACTTTATTTCATACTATTTAATCTTTTTCAAAGTATTCATTTCAGTTACATTTAATGTTTATGGTTATTATCATCTTCATTAATAAAAATAATATTATTGTTATGGTTATTTTGCACTTAATTTTATTAAAAAAATTACCTTGGAAACTCTGATTTGTTTTTTCGCTTTTTTTCATTTTCTTCTAAGTCGATATGTAAATTTTTACCTCTTAATTTGCTTTATTTTCATTCCTTCCCTCTTGAACTTATATTATTATTTTATTCCTCATAAACAAACAAAATGGTAGGTAGTAATTACATGTAGTTTCTCTGTTTGTAAATAGACCCACTTTTTCTTCACTCGTAAACGAGTGAATATAACTACGAACTATATATATATATATATATCGCGAACAACTGACGCTAAAATGTCATCACTCTGAATTATGTAGTCGATTATACAAAATACTAAATTAAAAGAATGTAATGTTACAGTTACTATACGCATTTTCTTTCTAATGATTATTTTTTCTGTGAAAACACCCACCCGATTACAGATCTGTTCATGTGTACAACATCACCCACTCTAGTCGTAAATCAGTTGATGACATCCATCTTCCACCTACAAGCATAATAGTTTTCCTGTCCTGTTGTCACCTTACGTATCTCCATATTTGTCTGTATGCATGTGTATGTATGTGTGCATAGCTATTAACTCTTATTTGTACCTTCTATGCCATGGTAACTAAAATATTTTGATAAAAATATTTTCTACTATAACATTGAGAAAAAATAGTTCAGTAGTAGTAATTGTAATAGCTACATTTTTCCCATCTCCTTTATTCTTAAACACACCCACACAGAAATTCCTCGTGAAAATAGAAACAGAATTATCTATTCATAGTATTTTCCCTTTGTTCAGTTTAACGAAACAAATATACACTGAAATATAGTTAAGTATAATAACTCGTATATCTATGTATCTATGTATTTCTGTAGATAATTGTCAGCGCGCCTGTTGTTTGCAATTATTATTCAGTTTTCACTTATGCATTCTGAAAAATAACTAGCTTATTATAAGAATAAGAATAGAATTTCATCCTATTTAATAGCAAACACCATCATCATCATCAACGTCGTCATGTTTATTACCTCTCATTTAACTCTAATTACAATGATAACTGATGACCAGATACCCTAAAGGAATTACTTTATAAAAAGTTTTTTATATAAAATAACAATATGTTATACAATTGTCACATTAATAGCTAACATAAATTGGAATTAAAGTCAATAATACACAAATCAATGACTTGTTATTCGGAATTAAATTACATCGTGTAACATGTCATTTTAACATTAGTTATACACTTGAAACATATTTCAGGAAAAAAAACAAGTAGTATTTAAATAGTGTCAATATTTCTTCCTTCTTTCTTATCTTATTTTCTTAGGAAGAGCATGTTATTGCACCTGGTTCACATGGACAGTGTCTACTATGGGCATGTAAAGCATGTAAGAAGAAAACAATGCAAGTTGATAGGAGAAAAGCTGCAACAATGCGTGAACGACGTCGTTTACGTAAAGTTAATGAAGCATTTGAAACATTAAAAAAACGTACATGCGCTAATCCAAACCAACGTATGCCAAAAGTGGAAATTTTAAGAAATGCTATAGATTATATCGAAAATTTAGAAGATATGTTACAACAGAATGGCGTTATACCAATGGGTATGACACCGTTAACATCAGCATTGAATGTAGCTACTACATCTCAAAATGATATTAACAAGAGTAGTGCAATTAACCGTATAACTCAATGCAATTCATCTGCAACAACTTCTGCAAGTAGTTTAAACAATTATCATCATTCTAATACATCTATAAAACAACCAAAAACAACTATCAACAATAAATATGGTAAAGAACAAAATGAAACATCTTCATCAGTGACAAATCAACCCCATTTATCTAATAATAACAGATGCCTATTAACTTATACATGTTCTCAAGATAGTCCTAATTTATCGAATTTCAGATGTGATTTTAATTTAGAAAATGGGAATAGACATGATTCTACAGATTCTCTTACAGATTTGTCACTTGGTAGTTTACCGACAGAATGCAGACCTGAAGATCAACTAAATACAATGCATAATTCAATATGTTCCCTTATTCCAACAACAAAGGTAAGTGTTTCAGTCAATTTTATTTAATATATCATTTATATATATTATGAGAATATTTGTTGTATATATTAACCTTCATTATGTTTATCAGTGGTAAAACATTTCAGAAGAGGCCCCTTTAATGAAAAGTTTAAGTCATCATAATTAATAATTCACTTCAGATAAAAAAATTTTGGTCGAGAAGTATGTTTTTATTACTAAAAATTAGATACCATTATATCAGAAGAGTTTGTGGAGATTTTAGTAATTTTATAGTTCAGTTCATAAGTCAATTGAAACTAGACCACCATGGAAAACCTGAAAGCACAGTATGTCGTTTCGTCCTAGTCTGGGACTCCTCAGCAGTTTGTTACCGATTCGTTCTAATAAAAATCATGATTTCAATGTATTTATCTAAATCAAGTCCTTAACGAAATAGCTAACTTACCATGAATTGTCAGCTTTAACTTAAGAGTTTGTCTAATTAACTAACTCTCACAAGACTCATATGATCTTACAGTGTAAAATGATTGACTAAATATAGTTTTTTAAGAAATCCCTCCCATACAGTAAAATCAATCAGTATATTTGAAAATTGAAATGATACGATTGATTAGTTTATCTGAGGTCGGTCCAAAAATATCATACAATGCATAACCTGATAATTTCACTAACAATCACATACATAATACATAATACATGGAAAAACGAAAGACAAACAATACTTTATCTCCGTATCGATAAATAAATTTGTACTTTTCACCAAGTTGGCATTAAGGCTGAATAGATAATCTGCTTTTTCTCAACAAAAACAAAACATTATTACTGATTCCTCTGGTGACCAGTTCGGATACCGTGATGATATATATACATATGTATAGGGAGAAACATGCTTGACTAGTATTGTTTACCACATTGTCTATAAAGCATTCTTTATTTGTTTTTGTTTTTTTTTCTTCTGTTCTTATAATGAAAAATGATATTTCGACTACTAGAAGTTGACAACATTTATTAAATAGGTAGGAAAAACAAATAATTCATTTACGTTTACATTCATAAGAAGAGACCATAACTTTGTCATTACCACTGAAAAAAAAAGAATGATGTTATGCATTAATCTACATTCAATCTTTATTAGAATTAATGTTACTTAGTTAGTTAGTGGTGTAGTAAATAATTTCTATTTTCTACATTTTACATCTATACAATATGAAAAATAAAAGGTTATATTCATCGGTAGGAGGCAAATGAGTTAACGTATTTTCTTTACCATACAGTAAGGTATTTGTTTTTTTCTTTAGCTAAATTATTTTGTAAAAAAGGAATAGTTCATTAACATTCGGTCATTCTGTCAACAACATAAATTTTTGAAGGGGGGGTGAAAAGCATTATTCGACGTTTAGAATAAATGTTCTCTTTTCTTCCAAGATGTAAAACTTCTTACAGATGATGATAACAAATGTAGTAGTTATTAATTGTAGGAATAAATTTAGAAGATCAAATTGTAAATAAGACATTTATTATTATTGTTATTATTATTCTCTTTCTCACTTGTTACTTTATTTAAATGTCCTTTCTTTTTACTCTTTATTTCTCTATTAACCAAATTGAATTGGAAAGAGAATAAGAGAAAGATAAAATCAAAAACAACGACAACAACAAAAAAGAGAAACAGAGTTGTAAATTGTCGGTGCATCATTTCTTAATGTCAAAGAATGTTGTATATTTATCATATTCATTACTGATCTCCTGATATAGTTAGATATTTATTCATGTGTTTTACTTAAATGTTATATTTATCTATATTTTGTGTATATTGAATAGACAGTTTAAATAGATTGTATGTGATGTAGAACTATTCACTTACATATAATATTGAATGATTTATTAAAGTTGACTGTGGCGAAAGCCGAAAAAAATATGAAAGAAATGAGATAGATTGATTATATAGTCAGGGATATGTTGATTCGATATATGGATAAGCTATCTATTTTTCTTTTTCTCTCATATGTATGGATTGTAAATGTCCACGTGGAGAAATTATAGAAAATTCACATGTATCCATAACTATGTATATTCATTTTCAATTAAGTAAGAAAGATAAAAAGAAAAAAAGTGAGGGTGGATAAAGATCTGAATAAATATGAATAGAATATGAATAATCCACTTGTTATTCATAGATCAATGTTTCAATTTGTTTCTTTGTTTGTTTTTATCTTATATATACATGAATATATATGTGGCTTAAAATGAAACTTTTCCATAACTATTCGTTATCAGAATAGACAAGCGAAAATAAAAAGAACATCAATATAGGATATATATTTATCAGACTATCATTGTATAAATCATTTTCCTAATTTGTTAGTTATATTAAAGAGAATAAACTAGTAAAATCTTTCGAAAATTGATCTACAGTGAAATGTATATCTTTTTTTGTTGTTGTTCAGTTATCGTTGAGATTATCATTTACAGAATAAAGGAAAACATAGAAAGAGAGAGAGAGAGAGGGAGGGAGAAAATTTATGTGGTTTCAGTAGATCTGGACAATTAATTAAATTTTCAGTAAATAAATATTAAGATACATGTTATTTGAACTCTTAGGTCAATGTATTACACTAAATTGAATACTAAAACAGGTGCTCTTCATTTTGTACATGTCAAGTGGATACTTCCTCTCTCACATAAACTATATGGATATCTGATACTCTCATTAACATCAATGTTATTATTAATACTGTGATAGTAATAAGTGTTTATAAGATGAATTCCATGTAAAATCAGTCAGTTATTAATATTACATCTATGATTATGATTACTGTTAGCATTAGTTCTATCCATGATATTTCAGTTCAATATTCACTGAAATTAATGTCAAACGTTTGTGGAATCCCATGTACTTCGCCTGGGTTACATACTAACCCTTATCCGACACATCGTTGATAAATGTTTTTAACAACAATCCAACCAGTGATAACTAAAGCCCTATATATAGGCATCACGAAGTTTGTGTTAACACTATAAATGACCGTCTACTAGAAAGCTTAATTTTTATGCACGAATCAATTACATACAAGCTAAAGGACAGAAATTAATTAACAGTACGTCAGTACTCATCAGCGCAAATCAATCATTTTAAGATCACTAGGTTTTTTACAAACATCCAAGTGTTTATCCCAAAGATGAAAGGTTGAATAGTTGGGCAAAACCATGAATCGATTGAAGGTAGACATTAACACCGTTGAATACCGAATTAGTGGTCTAGAGGTGAAGCGTTCGCACGTGAGAAGGAAGGTCATAGGTTCGAGTCCCGCAGAGAAATCGTGGGTGCTCACTGCTGAGTCCCATACTAGGATGAGATGGCCGTCCAGTGCTTCCATGTTATCATTTCCTTACACATCTTCTTTCAGACAAGAATGAATAGTTTTAATTCATTATAACGATAACTACTACTTAGTTCTTCTTGATATATATGACAAAAGATAATTTCGAAATAGTTTCCAGTATGGAAAATCATTAATTCAGTGAATAATTAAATAATGAGAGAAAGGGTCCGCTAAATAATTATACTTGCCTATTTTTAATATTTTACATTACAGTTGAAATATGTATACTGAGATCTAAATGATAACACGCATTAGCTTTATGTAGTTTCTGTAGTCAAATCATGTAATTATTTCAGTATACCGGATGAGTTTAGAGCTACAATAGAACAGCTTTCAAATATCACTCGGTTTTTGATCGTATTTAGTTTTTTGTATAAACTAATTTTTCAATCTCAATAATTTATAAAGTTGAAATCTAAAGTCATATTATGCTATCAAAAAAAGAGAAATTTATGATGAGCACTAATTAGACTCTGTCTAAACTGATAGTTACAATTATTCAAGCATGGATAACCTGTTCATTTTTGTACAAGTGCCGTGTCCATCTGTAAACTGACCATATTTTTATTCTGAGTTATGTTTGGCTATATTAACGAAGTACTTTCTAGTATGTATAATCAACGCTGAAATATTTCAAATAATGTAACACCGGTGAATGGAAGAAAACATTGGGAAGCCCCTAAATTTACGCTTTCAGTATGACGTACCTTCAAGCATAGAAAAGTTGGTTTTCCCGAGATGGAATTTTAACTAGTGTGACCCAGTTTCACAGGAAAATGACTTTTTGATTACCATATTCTGGACGCAACTAACTGAGTTTTATGTTTCTTAAATAATACTATCAAAACATATGAGCTGGGATTATCCACAGTGTTTGCAATATTCAATAAGGGAATTGCATCCAGAACTTTTATCCACTTTTCCATTTACTAAAAAATTTATTTCAAGAGTCTGCAGTTATCTGCAATTTTCTACTGTGATCATGTAAATGTAGCGTATTACAACATATTGGATAAAACGAACAAATATAGCGAAGCTGGTGCTTGAAATGAAACCTTTCATAAAAAACTGAACTGATAAATTTTCCGTTCGCTTACCCAATAAACAGAAAAATACCCTGGTTATTAAACGTTGAAAACGTTATGGATAAATTAAGCCACACGAATAGATCATTTACATTATTAATTCTCATTATTATTTCAATCTGATAATATCGTAAATTAAAGTTTATCTCTCTATATTTAAACAGGAATGAAATGTCGAAATGATTTAGTCTAACTTGATATTTTGATAATTTTTTACAACTTTTCTTTTGATATATATTATATTACAGGATTCTAAATTAATCGATTTTAACAGTAATTATTCACAGACAACCACGTGGAATATGTGTACACCTTATGAAACGCTGGATAGTTTAAAAACCAGTGATCAGGCACAACCTAGTAAGTATATATACATATATAATGTTATTCCAGTTTTGCTTTAACTTCTGCATTTAAATTAAACATTTACAAATATTAATTGACTGAGTGATTAAAACTATTTAGAATAATTTGCCTATTAATGAACTGTGATATTTTTTTTAAAAAAAAAGGATGAATGTAAGTAAATCATTTAATGACTGAGTTTATGATGAAGAAAACTGTAATAAAATTATAAAAAGAAATCTGGAGACACAGATTGTTAAATAATTATTATATTCAACTTAGTGAATAGATTTTGGATTAGTTTTTCAAGTTCCTTTAAAAAGGTATAACCTTTGTTACACCAACCAAATCAGAAATGAGACAACAACTTATACCCACTGATGAAATCTAATGGAAATTCAGCTATATATTTTGCAAATAAATTGAAGTTGAGAACGTGAACTATTGTGTCCTTAATATAATTCAAACAATATTGTGTAACTAAGAGATTTGAATATGTGGGAGATGAATTTTGAATGAATACTGTTGAGGAACCCCGATTTGAGACAAAATTATTATCTATTAAACCCATGATTTTCATTGGTTTCTCGGTTGATATCATTCTTTTAAATGAAGATTACTTTAACGAAAATTAGGTATCATTATTCTTCACATTTCATCTTATTTCAATCAAGCTATATTATGATAACAATTGGAATAACGTCCAAAGCGACGTTTACCCTAACTTATTTAAAATCATCTTTTATGCACTAGAATTGATAGATAGAAACTATCACACCTAGCTCTTTGAAAACAATTTAGAAAAGATGTTCTGTTATATGTGAAGTTCCATGTTGTTTTAAACCTTCGTAAAAGAGTATGTATTTTATTGCTGAGATCTCTGGTTAAAATCAAATTCTATGCCGCGTTTTAGAGGAAACATTAAAAAAAATATAGATTTATAATAAATACATCTTCAATCTGATATCTAATTTAACCCCTTTCTAATTAAAGTATAAACAATGTTGAAACTGACTATGGTAAAATAATTTGACATAAAGTTGATTATTATATTAACCAAAAAATTCATTGAGAACGAATATTGAGTACATAAACAAACCTTTTTTATAATAAAAAACAAAACAATCAAAAGTTTTATTAGAAAACATAACAGCAATGATAAGATCATCTGTTTTAGTTCTTAACTGAAGATCTTTAATCTGTCTTAATTTATATATAAATAAATAAATAAACACACAGGTGTATACATCAGTGAACGTAAATAATCTTTAATCTTTTATATCATTTATTCATTATCTTTATGGAAAATTCAATATCCCAAAATTCACCTGTTTATGTATTAAGTAGTTGTCATTTCATTCTGTATACAATAATCATTATGCATAGTATACACAAATATGCATATACAATTAATTTTTTTTATACTGTTCACTTTTTTTCCCAAGAAATACACGTAAATATGTGCAAATACACACACATGCACACTTACACATGTGCGTACACACACACAAACACGTACACCCAAATAAGTTTGGGAAATATTGTGAGTAAATATTTCAATTTGATAGGCACCGATTCAACCACTAAGTACACATAAATAGTAAATAGGGCATTCGATAGATTATTAGTGTGTGGATAAATGATCAAGAAACGACTATCTGTGTGTATAAATTAATGTATGGTATAATGATAATAATAATAATAACAATGGTAATAGTAATAATAATACTAATACTAAAATGATGGAATTGCGTCTTGATTATATGTAAAAGTAATCAGTACTAAGATTTCAAATTGATGGAAAATCCAGAAGTTTTTAGAATTAAATTAATTGTTATTCATTGATTAAGATAGAATAAAACGGAAAGATAATGACAGACCCTTAAATGAATATTAAATAAAATTCCAATTCTAATAGTGATCCAATGAAGAAACCATTATTATTATTACTATTATTATTATTATTTTCGATGATAGTTTAAAATAATTAATTAATATCCAGTGGTTTTCAAATTACTTGTCTGTCATGACTAGTGAATAAAACATTAAACAAAAGTTCTACTGTTCACTTTTAAGGGTAGTTAAAACTTATTTTATATTGAAATCATGAACCGATTGATGCTAGACCACCCTTGAAGAACTGGAAGCACTGGACGGCCGTTCCGTCCTGTTGTGGGGCTCCTCAGCAGTGTACATCCACGATCCCGCTCGAGGGATTCGAACCCAGGGCCTTCAGTCTCGCGCGCAAACGCTTAACCTACCGAACCAC